ATTTGTGAAAGAATCCAAACATCTGCACTATCAATTATTTCCAGCAACCTCTGAAGTTTTTTTTTTTTCTCAGAGGTTTTATCTTTAGCTCAGTTTCTTTGTTTAATTTCCAAAAATCAGAGAGAAAAACTGTTCAGTAGCATCTTAAAGCCTTCCAGTCAGTGTGGAGCAACAATTGCTTGGTGGCTTTAACCAAATCAACTCACCATGCTGCAAAGTCATCAAATTATCAATCGGTGCTTTATTACACCATATGAGCGCAAGAAAAAGGAAAGAGGAATGGCCAATTTTCAAAATGCCTTCAAGTGGTTGGATCAAGAGTGGAATCTTTGCCTCAGCAGCCCTTGTACGCCTGGTCTGTGATTGCACAACTTTTCTTTGTATCCTCTGAAACGCACTTGTTGTGATTTAGCACCCTCTCTCCAAAAGCTTTAAATTCAAAAATGTAAAAATCCTCAAAGCATAGCACTCCAACTGTGGGCTCCCGATGTTTCATCAAACATTCAGAGCGGCGACCCTGCCAAAACTCTCATTAAACAAGTCCATGCTGGAGTAACTAAAGATACTAAATCACTCAGGAAGTGGTGCCAATCCTTACACCAGAAGAACAAAAGATAGAAACAAAGAGGCAACAAAAGTATCCTTTAATTATGATATCGTCAAAGCAGAAATGTTGTGACCGCAGACCACAGCACAGTATCTCTTTCTGTTTAGCCACATTTGGTGGCTCCTATCTTCATCTTTTTTATGCACCTCTGTAAGGCGTGGAAGTTTGATGAATGAAATGAAAGAAGTAAGATTCCATGACAGGACACTGCATGGACAAGGAGTGCTGCCACTGACTGGGTCACAAACACTGTGGGGCTGGAGTCACAACAGGTCAGGCCTCAATATAAAAAAAGCTAGCGGAGAACATCAAGTATATGTTTATGGAGGGTGGGTAGTGTATCGTGTCTTGATGACATAGGTTCCAAAATTTCCTTCAGTGATTCTTCTACTTGGAAAGCACTATAACACCAGTCCTGTAAAAGCCTTAAAATTTTGCTCATTTTCACTAATATCTCCTGCTAATTTGACATGAAATCAATGCACATATTTGAGGTTAAAGTTTGAACCACCTGGTTGAACAAGACTACATTTTCTCCTAAATTTCGTACATAAACTGTCTACAGGAATAAACATCTGCTTCTGTTCATTCTAATAAAAACAGGCGTCTGGATGCCAACTTGATTATGGAGGTGCCAGAAAGGACCCTCTCGGGTATGCGGTCCCTGCGACACTTGTGGCTTGATGACAATGCCCTGACAGGGATCCCAGTAAGTGCCCTCAACGACCTCTCCTCACTCCAGGCTATGACCCTTGCCCTAAACCGCATCACCCACATCCCAGACTATGCCTTCAGGAACCTTTCCAACTTGGTTGTGCTGTAAGTATCTACTTCCACACAACATGAATAAACCAAGTAGGATGTTTTCCTGGATCAACATGCTAAGTAGCTAACCCCAAAATATATCCAGTCCCTGCGATCAGAGGGGAGAATTAGGAATGTTCTTAAAGCCCCTAACCCCAACCTTAAGCTTTATCCTAAACCTTGATCCAGGACCATGTCCTATTTGACTAAATCACACTGACAATTTTGCATGTGTCAGTGTGAGGATCGGAAACCAGGAAATAAGAGGAAGTTGGAACACATGCCCTGTTTTGACAGGACACCACAAGAATCTTAAACTCTTTCAATTACAAAGCAGTGAAATGATAGTGTGGATTAATTTTATATCTCATCCACCACCGGTTTACGTTTATTTGAAGCAATGTACACAGCCAAGCAGGTGTCATTCCTAGGGTTTGTTTTGATGCCTACTATAATCCTAATGAATGTTTTCATGTTTAGGCATCTTCATAACAACATGATCCGGACCCTCGGACAGAACTGCTTTGAGGGACTGCACAGCCTCGAGACTCTGTAAGTAAGATCGTCCCTTCATGAAAGATTGAAAACATGAAAGAATTTCCTGTTTTTAATGCAAACAAACCCTGATCTGTTATTTGATATTGGTGTCCTCGCGGAATCATTATGGAAGGGGCTGCGTCTATATATATAAATCAAAATTACTAGCAAACTAGCCTGACTCTACTTATGTTCAGTGGTTCAGCTTTGTATTAACTATAAACAAATCATTCTTTACACAATACTTCTGCTGTTCAGATACGCACATATTAAATGCAGTACCTTGTTTTCTAAAAAACACTCTTACCTCTCATTACAATTTAAGAAAGTATGGCAGACTTTCATTAGAAGCAACGATAATGTCCTGACAATGACTTCAGTGTTGGGTGATTTCTTCAGTGTTCCATTCAAAAGTATATGTGTAAGTAGTGTGGAAACTATACAGTGATTTTTAGGGGACCTTTGGGGTTTTGGTTATCATGTGGCTGATGTTGGTATTACAGGCTACAAATATTTTTAATACACTTCCCTTTGTCCCATAGCTTCATATATTCAGCATTCAGAAATGTAATGGGATATAATTTCCATTCATAATGTAACAATCAGATTTCAAGACAAAAGTTGAATACTTTTCAGTACAAAAGTACTGAATACTTATGTGAGATTATATCACTACACTGCCTACTTTTTTTGTGCAATGTCAATAGCATGACCCATGTTAGAGGTGGTTGAATTTATATTATATTAGGGCTGGATCAAATTTTAACTGACATTCTGCATTTTACTTGACAGTCTGCATCTAAAAACATAATACAATTGATATTAATATATGAGTATGAACAAAACTAGTAAAAAATATAGTTAAAAACATCATGATTTTATGGCTACTGGCTACAATTTTCATATTATAGCTGGACAATAGCGCACATTCTCTGCCGGAATTCAGGCTATATAACTTATACGTTACTGAACATGGTAGATTGGCATCAAATGTTAAATAGGCCCAATAAATACACTAGAAATGCTAATAAAATTCATGAGAAATTTTGAAAGGGGCTTACGAACCAGAGCCAATGCATGTTTGTAATGTAATGTATGAACGACTTTACATAGACCATGCTATGAAAGTTTGGCTTTAAAGGAATAAGCATATGCTGAAGTCATGGTGGTCTCCAGGATACCGAGAGGTTCACACCTGCTTTTTAACAGCCTGCTGAAGTGCTAAAGATGACGTTTTCCTCTTTACGAGAAGGATTTCAGCCTTGAGAATTGCACACACTGAACTGAACACTTCATTTGAAAGCAATCACTGAGAAACCGTGCACTGAAAATCTCCCATGACAATTGTGTGGCTCGATAAATTTACCTTTAAAGGGGTCATATGATGCTATTTTAAAGATCATTATTTTGTGTATTTGGTGTAACAGAATATGTTGACATGCTTTAAT